CCAAAAAAAATGGGTAGGGGTGAAACTCTTAAGTCCCGTGTGGGGCCATTCTGTTCAGTCTACATAACTTCCAGAGCCCAGCATTTGGGCTGAGACAGTGCTTCGTTGAGTCTTGCTGGTAAAGAAAGACAAGGTTCACTGGCTAAGCTGTGATTGGTGCTGTCAGTAGATGGCACTGCTGGGGAAGTTTTTTTGTCAAAAAGATCAGTGATGAGCAGGCCCGCACTGAGAGGAGCGCCTGCTGACTGCTATTGACGTGGTGTTCTTAGATCATTGTGTGTTTGCTCATCACCTTCCCTGCCGGAGGATGAGCACAGCCAGGTGCAGGTTTTTGTGTTTTACAGTGTGCTGAGTACAGGTTGGTGCTTTGGCTACTAAGAGTAAAGGTGTCATAGTGGCCTTGCACATTTTGCATGATGAACCCCACTGTCCTCTCTAGGTGGATAATGCTTATTGGCTGTGGACCTTCCAAGGACGCCTTCTCCAGAAGAACAACAAGGATCGTTTCTGCCAGCTGCTCTGGAGACCAAGGCCCCCAACGCTCCTCAGCCAGGATCAGATAAAGGTCTGTGGTCCCTGCCTGGTTGGGACTATGGGAGGAGTTGTGGCACTGGAGGAAATAAGGCATTTGTCCTGTGACTGGAAAGGGGCAGTGAGTGGGGAGTGGAGGTAGGACATGGAGAGGGCCTCTGAAGAGATATAAGGCCAGGGAGACCTGACCTGGAGCAATGTCAGGCACTAACTCTAAAGTTACAGGCTTAGCAATACCTACAAGCCCAGGAGGCTGAGGCAAGAGGATCATGGGTTCTTCTAGACTCTGCTTTGTAGCAAAAGATAACCCTAGTCTTCCTGTCTGTTCCCCACTCCCCAGAAAACCCAGGAGTCTGACTAAGCCAGACAGGCTATAAACAAGCCCTAGTAGAATTGGAAGAGCTAGGTGGGGTTAGGTAATGGGGTAGGCTTGTGATCTTAGGTCCGAACTGGGAGTGACTCACCCTAGGAATTGTCTCCATGAAATGAGACTCCCCAGCCAGTCATGCTAGTGCCCTGGGGCTGAGTCCTCTTAGTCCTAGAGGCTGTCAGTGCGCAGTGGCATCTTTGAAGGCAGCAGTTGTGGTCCTGCTTTGAAGGTTCAGTCCTAAGAGACTTGTCTTGGTTTCAGCAAATTAAAAAGGATCTGAAGAAATACTCTAAGATCTTCGAGCAGAAGGATCGCTTGAGCCAGTCCAAAGCTTCAAAGGTGAGCCTGAGGGGATGCTCACGCGTGCGCGCATTCCTGTCTGGGCCTGGGCAGTAGTGAGAAGGGTGTGCCAGGAGCCTCATCTGGTTTGTTCTCCCACGTGTGAGGTGGTAGTTAGCAATGGGCAACAAGGCCAGCATTGGTCCATGGAACCAATACCCACTAACACTGAGTAGAAGCGGGCTTTTCTTTGATAGAAGCAGGAGGTTCTAGGATATAGAAGAGAAATGGGGGTCCTACTTAAGGGAGGTTCTATGTAAGGCTTGCCCAGCACAACAGAGCTGGAATACAAGACTCCGCTTGCCCTCTTCTAAACTTCAACAATGATTGCTAGACACAGAGGATGTCACTGTGGTTTGTGGTTGAACAAATGTGTCCTGCTCATCCCTACAACCTTCCCACATGATAGGAACTAGTGGAAAGAAGGCGGACCATGATGGAGGACTTCCGGCAATACCGAAAAATGGCCCAGGAACTCTACATGAAGCAGAAGAACGAACGTCTAGAACTACGGGGAGGTAACCAAGCTTCTGGGCATGTCTGCAAGTGGAGTGGTCACTCAAGGGTGTGGACTAGAGAGCCCTGCAGCTGACATTACAGCCACATCCTGGGTGTCAACCTGCTCTCTGTCTTCTTAGGGGTGGACACTGATGAGCTGGACAGCAATGTGGATGACTGGGAGGAGGAGACCATCGAGTTTTTTGTCACTGAGGAGGTTATTCCTCTGGGAAGTCAGGAGTGACCTCAGCACTGTGGTAAGAGTTGTGAGTGTGAAGAGAGCAGTGGATGCCTGTTGAGTTAGACCACAGCATAGAAGACACCCAGGAAGATGGTGGTGCCACCACTGGTGGTTGGTAGGGAGCTTGGGAAGAAGCAGGGGCTGGCATGAGGGCAGTGCTACAAGAAGGAGGATCAGGCACAGTACTGTCACCCAGTGTTGGTAGTGTTGGTACAAGCCACAGGAGCGAGTGTCTGCCTGTGTGAGGCGCTAAACCTTCGGGATGATGGGAGTACTACTGACTGATATGAGGCCTCTCCCGTGGCCTGGAGTGTGGTCAGTGAAGAATCCAGCTGTTTTCCCCTTGCTTTGTGGTTGACTAAATGGTGGCTCATCTGTTGCAGTGTCACTGTGCTGTGCCCAGGATCCGAGGCCACCCTTCACAGAGAGCCTTGGGCTGGGTTCTCATTGTGCTTTCTTTCTCTGGACTGCGAGTGCACCCGGGGTTCTTCCATCCCGACACAGCTCTGTGCCTTCAGCCCCTGGGTCCACAGTGGGGACACTCGAGGCTCCGCTCTCACTTGCCCTGTTTGGGTTTTTATGCCGTGTCTGCTGTGGGGCCTCACTGCAGCTCTCCTGGTTGCTCCTTTCACTCCTGCTGCCCGTGGTTTCAAGAGCCTCTACCTGCAGCTCAGTGGAGTTCCTGTTCACAGACTCGCTGTCCCCGCTTGTGGCCTGGAGACCTTCAGGGGGACTGCACACCCACCACTGACTTGTGCCAGTAGATCTGGAGGCACACCAACACCTTGCGCCTGTTCAGATTTTGCAGGGCCTCTGCACAGGTTGGATGTGGGAATAAAAGCAACCCTGTGTGAAAGTGTTGTCTTGCTCCTCTTTCAATTCGTAATGGCCTTGAGGCCTGCCATTCCCACTCCCTAGGGTGAGGGTATTTGCATACTTGCACCTGACTTGTTGAGAGCTTGTCTGAAATCTGGCCAGGAGCTAGTGTGCCAGATCCCAGATGCAATGTCTTCCATCTGTTTCTGTGAGAAAATATTCATCTCACCCTGACAGAACCCTTTAGGTTTTCTAGACTTGGACAAGTTGGAAAACAGGTACAGAGGGGGTCAGCCACTTAGAGACACACATCTGTAGTTACCTAGTGTCCAATAGCGAAGACAGCATACTGTATGCATGGGCTCCACCCAGAGTGAGCTGTGGCCAAGCTCTATGCAACCTGCTTCTCTCAGGTTCCCACCTGACTCTGCATCTCTTGTGACCAGAGAGCTACCCCAGGCTGGGCCCACAGCCATGGTATGTGTGCAGAGCGCGTACCTCCAGCAGAGGACAGGCTGCCCTAGCTTAGTGAGCAGAAGACAGAGATGAGTGATTTGCGTGCTTCATTCTTAGAAGGTAGTTCACTTTTCCTCCTGGGTCTTAGAGTCTTTATTCCTTTGGGCTCTCCGAGGTTCCATCGTGGTTGTAGGACCTTCAACAGCTTGACCCACCTATTGGCCACTTCCATGTTCTTTAAACACCTTTTCCCAGTTTCACAGCAGTGAGATGAAAAAGGCACACAGATACAGCATATTTTCAGGGGGTTTGGTTTTGGTTTTTCGAGATGGGGCAGCTTTGATTGTCCTGGAACTAGCTCTGTAAACCAGACTGGTCTCAAACACAGAGATCCGCCTGCCTCTACCTTCTTAGTGCTGGGATTAAAGGTGTGGACAACTACCTTCCAGCTAAACTGGCTCCTTTGGGTTTTTTGTTTGTTTGTTTTTGTTTTTTTGTTTTTAAGATATATTATGTATGCAGTGTTCTGTCTGCATGTGTGCCTGCAGGCCAGAAGAGGGCACCATATCTCATTACAGATGGTTGGGCGGCACCATGTATTTGCTGGAAATTGAACTCAGGACCTCTGTTCTTCCACAGCCAGTGCTCTTAACCGCTGAGCCATCTCTCCAGCCCCATCCCTTTTTCTAAATAGTTTTAATTTCATAGTATTATGTGTGTGTGTTTGTATATGCACACATGAACACGCGAATGAGTGCTGTGCATGCTTGTGGAGGTCAGAGAGGAACCTGCAGGAAGCACTTCTTTGTGTGCACCCTAGGAGTTGAACTTAGGTCTCCAGACCTGTAAGCACAGTGCCTCTGCCCACTAAACAGCTCCTGAGCCTGGCTCTTAGAGATATGTGTTGTTTGTTTGCCTTTGTATGCTTTGTATTTGTGCCATATGCATATAGAGGTCAGAGGACAACTTGGTAGGAGTTGATTATCCTTTGTGTAGTTCCCAGGGATGGAACTTAGGTTGTCAGCCTTCATGGCAGGTGCCTTTACCTGCTGAGCCACTTCTCCAGTTCCCAAGCCTGGCTCTTAATAGCTTGCGCCACCCCGGGTTGGTTACCTGTGTGACATTACTGGTGCAGTCTTTTTGGCCAGACTGTGAAGTTCACAGAACAGGATGTCCCCAGGGATCCAGTGGAAGAGGTGAAGCAGTAAATCTACCAGTTTCATCCTTAATCCCTCTCAAGTGTTCAGACAGACACTGAAGACTGGAAATTCACCAGAAATTGGTCATCCATGAAAGACCCTGGCAAGGTTACTGACAGCTGAAATTGGCTTATTTGGTTTCCGTTGTTGCTGTTTTGTCACCTTGAGTGGGAAGCCACAAGTGCTCACCTGCTGCCGTGAGGTGGCCCCTGTGTGGGTGATCGTTGCTCCTGGGCACCACAGTGCGGGGTTCTGTTAACTGGACTTATCCTTAGACCTCTGTGCCTCTGTGGCATAAGAGGAATTTAGAGCTAGGCTGAACAGTGTTCTTGTCATGGTCCCCATCATGATGCCTTCCATCTGTGAGGTCTGACTACTTGGGAACTACTCAAACCATGAGGGCTGTCCTGACCAAAGAAACAGGTAGGGGTGACACCAGGTTAGTAAATGAGCTCAATGCTGGCCCAGCTCCACCTCTGGGGACCCAGCTGACGTCACCAGAGTGAGCCTGGGGAGCAGGGCGGGGCTGATCTGGGAAGATCTCCTTGCCTCCGACTCTGCTAGGTTAGCTGAGAGCCCTCCAGGAGTTCTGACTTGTAGCATGCCCTCCCACCAGACCACAGACCCCTCTCCAGCTCGGGGCAGCCCAGCCCTGAGGGAGATGGAACCCAAGGATCAGCAGCTCATGGTGAGTACCCTTGCTCATGTCCTCTGCTAACTCCAGCCCCTTCTTGCCTCTACCCCTGCCAAGAAACCCTAAACCCTGTACTTGTCATGGATCAGGTCTCGTGAGCCCTTTAGGGACCAGTGCCTCACTCCTGGTTCCTACTTTCCTGGGACCCAGTGATATTGACATACATTCTCGCCCTGATTGTCTAGACCTTTGTCTCATCCTCCGTCCTCAGAAAGCCTGGGGTTTGGACTATGACCCCAGCTGTGGGGCAGCCCCCATCCTGACCCACTTGTCAGGCTACTTGTACCAATTGGCCTTGGGATGAACTGCATTAGAACTCCACTAGCTCCTGTGACTGGTTAAGGCAGACTGGCCCCCATGTCATCTATGTGCCATCAAAGATACCCTTATGCATGGACTGGGCAGAATTGAGCCCAGATTCCCTCTTCTGAATGCTCATAGAGGACTGGAAGATGCAGATGTGTTTCCTTTCTGATCACAGTTAAGACAGACAGCTGTGTGACCTTGGGAAAGCTGCTCCTCTAATCCGTGACAATGATGTCACCACCAATTCCTCAGAGCCTTTCTGGGAGGCAGGAACAGCTCCTTGCAAGTAGGATCTAGGTTTGAGTGAGGGTAACACAGGTAGATGGAAAATGGAGTCCCGCTGAGGGTCTTGGTGCTACCTGTGCCCTGTTCACAGGTGGCTCTTCGGATCCGCCCACTCAACAGTACAGAACTGGAGGAAGGAGCCACCGTCATTGCCCACAAAGTGGGGGACCAGGTGAGACTAGAGGACACGAGGCAGTCACTCAATCAAGAGGTAACCCTGGTGGCCTGGCTCTGTTCTGGGGTAGAGCTGAGCTGACAAGCACTTTCCACACAAGTGTGTGTGTGTGTGTGTGTGTGTGTGAGAGAGAGAGAGAGACAGACAGACAGACAGACAGACAGACAGAACAACTTGCTGGAGCTGGTGTGTGTGCATCAGAGAAAAACTTGATGGAGCTGTTTCTCTTCTACCTGATGTGTTCCAGGGATCAAACTTAGGTTTTCAGGTTTAACATAGTGGTTTTATCCACTGCTGAGCCATCTTGCAAGACAGCCCCCTCCCTTTTTAAGATTTATTTATTATGTATAGTGTTCTGCCTGCTTGTGTACTTACAGGCTAGAAGAGAGCACCAGATCTCATTACAGATGGTTGTGAGCCAGTAGGTGGTTGCTGGGAATTGAACTCAGGACCCCTGGAAGAGCAGGCAGTGTTCTTAACCACTGAGCTATCTCTTCAGCCCTGTTCTTGGTTTTTGAGACACAAACTGTCTTTGGGATCAAGGGCTCATTTATTAGATTTGGCTGGCTAGCCAGTGAACCCCGGGGATTTTCCTACCTCTGCCTCCCAAGCAGTGGGACTAGAATTGTGTGCCACCACACCCAGCTTTTGGGTATGTTCAGGTTCTGGGGATCAAGCTCATGTCCTTATGCTTGCATGGCGACTACTGACTAGAGTTATCTGCTTAGCTTTTTTTTTTTTTAAATACTTTTTGAATCTCACTATGGTACTTCACCTGGTACTTCATTCATTATGTATCCCAGGTGAGCTAGCCTTGCACTTGAGCAATTCTCCTTCCTCAACACCCAGTTTCCATTCATTAACAGAACTGCATTTGTTCTTGGGGTTGTTTGCTACACAGAGGTCTGCTGAGACACCAAAGTGGGGACATAGGACAGACAGAATGTGAGGAGACTTTGCAGGCCACATTAGTGTGCCAGGTCTGATTTCAGAAACTTCAAGTGATTGCTGGCTGTAGGGTGGAGCACATGCTGCCATTACCAGGGACTTTTCTTCAGAGAAAGAGTCAACACTCAGCTACCCACACCTTAGAAATGTTTGTCTTTGTCACTTAGAAGGAATCTAAAGCCAGGCTTTGTGAGATGGACATCATGTCCCTGTTGGGCACTAGCGAGATTAGTGAGGTGGTCTCTGCGACAATGCTCAGGCAGGGTGTTTACATTCGAGCCAACAACCCAGTGCCAGTGTTCAGACACAACAGTAAAGTCATAATGTCACCTGCAAAGATGGATTGAGTAGGGAGGGCAGGGCTGGTGCTTCAGATATGTATATGTGTGACCGTGAGCAGTGCAGAAGACAGCGCCTGGGGCTGGAGAGATAGCACCCACGTGGTGACTCACAGCCCTCTGTAAACTCCAGTACCAGGAGATCAGACACCATCTAGCTTCTGTGGGCACCCAGCATGCATGTGGTGCTCATACATACATACAGGCAAAACACCCATACACATAGCATAAAAATAAATCTTCATCCAAAAGACAGCCCATGCTGAAACATCAAGGTAAAGGGTTCTGGGGACAGCTTGGTAACTATTTGTTTTGCACACATAAGGACCTGAATTCTAACCCAACTCAAGGGAAAACTGGGCATGGTAGTGCCCAGTTGGTAATCCTGGCACTAGGGTGGTGGGGACAGAAAGATCCTTGGGGTTCCATGGTTAGCTAATCTAGCCAGATTGGTGAGCTCAAGGTTCAGTGAGAGACCATGTTTTAAAAATGAGGTGGAGGGACTGGGTGTGGTGGCGCATGTCTTTGATCTCACTAGGCAGATCTCTTGAGTTTAAGGCCAGCCTGGTCTACAAAGTGAGTTCTAAGATAGCCAGGGCTACACAGAGAAACCCTGTCTTGAAAAACCAAAATCAAAACACAAACAAAAAGGTGGAGGACAGTTAAAAAGACAGCAGATGCCAGCCTTTGGCCTCCCAAGCACTTATACACACATGACCACATCTGGTTCACACACACACACACACACACACACACACACAAAACCCGAAGTAAAATTAGCACCGCAGAAAATTCACTCTCTTCTTTGAGATAGTGTCTCCGCACTTGACCCAGGCTACCCTTGAAGTTTTCCTGCCTCAGCTCCCGAGTGCTGGGATGAGTGCACCACCACCTTGTGGTTCAAAATTTCATCTTTTTAAATTTGAAAATCAAAATATAATTATATTATTTCCCCCATCCCCCCTTTTCAAGTAAATAATCGAGGGGCACTTAGTCCTTTTCAGCTATACAATCCACATAGATTCCCTCACACCTATCAACTGCTACTCCACTTCTGACTCTGGTTTCTGGACATTCCGTGTCAGTGCAGTCACGCGTGTGTGGTGTGTGACCTTCTTTGTGTGACTCAATGTTGTTGAGGATCACCCAGTCTGTGATAAGTTAAGTTCTCTAACTCCTCTCCCCTCTTCCTCCCCCACCCCTCCTCCTCTCCTCCCACTTTCCTCCTCCTATTCTCTCTCCTCCCCTCCCCTCCTTCTCTCCTCCTCCTTTCCTCCTCCTTCTCCCCTCCTCCTGCCCTCCTCTTCTCTTTTTATCTAACTACACAGACCAGGCTGGCCTCAAACTCATAGAGATCCCCCTTGTCTCTAGTTCCTGAGTACTGGGATTAAAGGTGTGTACCCTCACACCTAGTTTCTATTTTTTTTAAAAAAAATTATTTATTTATTATGTATACAACATTCCTTCTATGGCCAGAAGAGGGCACCAGACCCCATTACAGATGGTTGTGAGCCACCATATGGTTGCTGGGAATTGAACTCAGGACCTTTGGAAGAGCAGGCAATGCTCTTAGCCTCTGAGCCATCTCTCCAGCCCCCTAGTTTCTATTTTTATTTTGAAATGACTTCAAGCCAATAGAGAATGCTGTGAACCCGGTGCCCTCTTAACCTCATATATGTGCCTCACTCTGTCCTCTACCTGTTGTAGAGAAGAAGTTGTACTCACCAGAGAAGACTACTCAGATATGGGCTTAAGCCAATAGAAAGTCCCTATTAAACTAACTACACTGGGTGTTTGGAAATCCCAGTGTAGCCCTGAGCCTTTCGCAGGATGAGCTTTTAAGCTTGAAAACCACATCCATATTTCAGTTAATAAGAGCAGTTAACCAGAAACAGAACTACAAAAGTCAAAAAGCAAGGTTAGTACATTTACATTTTCCCAGAACTACAGACCTTGATGGATTAGGCCTTTGTTTTAGTTTTGGCAGGTGGTGCTGACTACATGCCGAGTTTTATGGCCTGAATGGTACTCCCATCATGGAGCCCGTTTGCTAAGGTCTGGTACACTGTTTTACTCCCCTGCGCTCCGACTCCATTTCTCCGAAGCATTTGGAGGCACAACACCCTTCCCTACCCAAACATTCCATCATAGACCTCTTTAAAACAAAAAACATTCTTATCTGGATGTGGTTGGTTGCTCATGCCTGTAATTCTGTCACTGTCTGGTCAGAGCAGGAGGATGGCTCAGCGGTTAAGAGCACTGGCTGCTCTTCCAGAGGTCCTGAGTTCAATTCCCAGCAACCACATGGTGGTTCACAGCCATCTGTAATGAGTGTAATGTCTTCTGGCCAGCAAGCAGACAGACAGAACATTGTATACATAATAAATAAATAAATAAATCTTAAAAAAAAACAAAACAAGTGTTTAAAAAAAAAAGTTGTCATAGAGACCATTTCCTTGGTTGGGTTTATTCCAAAGATTTTTTTTTCCTGAAGCAGTTGTGAATGAGAGCATTTGTCTGATTCCGTCCTTAGGTGGTTGTTATTCTTATACAACACTGGTTCTCAACCTTCCTAATGTTGTGGCCCTCTAGTACAATCCCTCATGTTCTGGTTCCCAGCCATAAAATTATTTTTGTTGCTATTTCATAGCTGCAGTTTTGCTACTGTTATGAATTACAACATCAATATCTGGTATTTCTGATGGTCTTGGACGATCCCTGTGAAAGGATCATTTGACCTCCAAAGGGGGATCTGGACCCACATGTTGAGAAACACTAATATATAAAAAGGCTACTAATTTATTATTGTTACTGTTATTGTTGTTGTGTGTGATGTATGTGGGCATGCATGTCACAGCGTAGACATGGACAACTTTGTGGAGTAAGTCCTCTCCTTCCACCTTTACAAGGTGTATTCGTCCCTCTCCAGATGCTGTGGTAGCACATCATGGCCAAGGCAACTTAGGGAGGGGTTTATCTGGGCTTATGGTTCCTGAGGGGTAAGAGTCTGTCTGAGGCAGCATCAGTATTACTGTGACAAAACAACCTGATCGAAAGCAAAGTGGGCAGGAAAGCCTGTTTTGCTTAAACTTCCACATCACTGTTCATAATCAAAGGAAGTCAAGACAGCAACTCAAACTGAAACCTGAGGCAGGAGCTCATGCAGAGGCCATGGAGGAAGTGCTGCTTAGTGCCTTGCTCAGCCTGCATTTTGTTGTTGTTTGGTTTTTTGAGACAGGATTTCTCTGTGTAGACTTGGCTGTCTTGGAACTTGCCCTGTAAACCAGATTGGCCTTGAACTCACAGAGATCCACTTGCCTCTGTCTCTGATGTGCTAGGAATAAAGATGAGCATCATCACCACTACCACCAGGCCTGTCTGCTTTTTTACAGCACCCAGGACCTTTAACCCAGCAGGTGTCACTACCCACAATGGGCTGGGCCCTCCTCATTCAACCACTAATTAGGAAAATGCCCCACAGGCTAGCCTACAGCCTGATCTTGTGGAGAATTTTTTTTCAACTGAGGTTCCCTCTTCTCAGATGACTTTAGCTTGTGTCAAGTTGACATAAAACTGCCCAAAATAGAGACCATAATGAAGAGAGTAGAGCCATAGCAATTGAATCTGGAAGCTGAGAGCTCATATTTTGAACTACAAACAGGAAGCAGAGAGAACACATTGGCAATGGTGCGTGACTTTGAAACCACAAAGCCAGCCCCAGTGGCATACTTCCTCTAGCAAGGCCACACCTCCTAATCCTTCCCAAACAGCAGCACCCACTGGGGATCTGTGTTCAAATATCAGAGCCTGTGCAGGACATTTCCTGGAAACTACCACCTAACAGTCCCCTGAGGAGGGAACTCAGGCTTCAAACTTGCATAGCAAACACCTTGATCTGCTGAGCCACCTCACTGGTCCCAGCTACTCTTTTTGAAAGACTCCCGTGGGCGTCTTCCTTCGGGAGAGACCCCGTGCCCAAAGATCAGTCGAAAACACGCAGCCGGATGCAAACAGCAAGAGGTTTATTGGATACGCAGGTACCTGGGGCGACAAAGTCTCTCCGAGGACTTGCGCGCCGCAGGTTGGGGGTGAGGGGTTTTTATAGGAGAGCAAAAAGCAAGGTTTACAGAAGCGAGATGCAGGGTGGTAAATTCTTAACCTAAATAACAATGAGGGGACTACTCAGCGGTTTACTGTTCCTCTTTATCCTGTTCCCCTTTCCTGGCTGGCGACCAGATGTCTGATTGCACAGCCCCTGACTCGTGACGAGCCCCGCTTTATAGTGACTCAGGCCTCGCAATCCTCTCTTTCTTTGTTTCTATGGCCAGTCCATAAATCCCCTGTCTCAGCCAGATAAGGCTGTCCTTGCTCTAACCTCAGGTATCTTTGTTCAGCATTCCGGAGGCCCTGAGCTTGTTATTTGTTCAGCATTCTGGAGGCCCTGAGCTTGTTATTTGTTCAGCATTCCGGAGGCCCTGAGCTTGTTATCTGTGAACCTTTGCAAAACGGTATAACTGTGGTTAAAACGAGTTGGGGTCCTTCATTTTAACTTTGTGTCCTGCCATTTTGTGTCTCTCCATTCTAAGATTCTTCTCCTGGGGTGGTTACGGTCTGTTTTGCATAGAATCATATCATCTGCAAATAAGGACAGTGTTCATTATAACAACAAAAATATTTTTCTGAGTCCAACAATAACTTGACAGGGGAAGGTGCCGTGTGCAAGCCGGATGATATGAGTTCAATCCCCAGATCCTACAAGGTCACAGGAGGAAGCCAACTCCCCAAAGGTTGTTCCCACCATGGCATACAAACTCCCGCACTCATGCAACCATAACACACTAAAAAATGATTGATTCATAGATAGATAGATAAAACATATTTGTTTATGATCCAAGACCCAGTGCTACAGGTACCTTTTGAGTACCCAAGGGTCTGTGTATATGTTTTCTTATCAACCTTTATGGTCCTTTTGAACAGTCTCTGTGATTACTGTAACTTCACAAATGTGAAGACTGGGTGAGGCTTGAGAGACACCGTGTCCTAGGATCCCACCAGAGTGAGCAGTAGAGCCAGGCTGAGATTAGAAATCAAGTTCTGGAGAGTCCACTTCCATGACGCTCAATCCCACAGTTCCACTAGAGCCTGTTGTTGAGAGGACCCTGGCTGGGGACCCATCTAAGTCCTCCTGCAGCCCAGCCTGGCCCACAGTAGGTAGGCTGCCCTGCCACACAGCGTATCCCCAGGAGAAGAGAAAACAGAGAAAGTCAGCTTATGTCATGGAGCAAGCACTGGCCAGAAGCCAGAAGCCCTGGCAGAGCCTGGCCTCCCAGGACTACAGTTTCCAAAGCTACAGGAGGGGCAAGTAGTGGTCATGTGACAGGACTCTCAGAACCACCTAGCTCTGCCTTCACCTTCTTGGTTCCTCTCTGGTGCTCAACCCCACATCTCCACCAACCAGGTTGCATTTGGCCTCTACCCATTTCCCTGCCCCCTGCTGTCCCTGGGGCAGACTCCTTTAATCCCTTTGCCCCAAGGATCTTAACAGGTTTGCTTGATAATAGTGTATATGGGGACTGAGGGGCCCTAGGGACTGACAGGCGCTCAGAGAAATGGAGCTTAAGGGTGGGGGCTTTGCGACAGTCCCTTTATCTCCTCTGTCCTGTGGAGTGGCCAGCCCAGCACTCTACAGTTGCCATAGCCTCTTGCCTTCTCTGATGACATTAGTTCATAGGACGGTCTGTCACTATGGGGCCAGAGTGGTGGTGGTCTGTTGTGTTGGGTGGGGTTGTTGAAACATGACAGGCTGTTTTCCCTTGGGCTTGGAGTTGTCTGGGGCTTTTTTTTTTTAATGGTTTTTTGAGACAGGTTTTCTGTGTAGCCCTTTCTGTCCTGAAATGCATTCTATAGACCAGGCTGGCCTCGAACTCCCAGAGATCCACCTGCCTCACGAGTTCTGGGATTAAAGGTGTGCGCCACCGCCTCCCAGCATCTGAGCCATTTATGTGGCTGACTGAGGGGAGCTGTATGGTTTGCCTTGGGCGAGTGACAGCAGGGGACACTGGCCCCAGTGAGTGAGGCAAGGTAAGATGCCCACTGTGAAAGCATAAGGACTTGAGTTTGAATCCCCAGAACTAGAGAGCAGAGACAGGAGGATTCCAGGGTCACTGGGCAGCCCATCTAGCGGAAATGGCAAGTTCCAGGCTCAGGGAGAGACCCCGCCTCAAAGACTGAAGTGGAGAAGCAAAGGAGGCGAGCAGTGCTGATGCTCATCTTGTCCTTTTTTCTGAGACAGGGTTTCTCTGTGCATCTCTGGCTGGCCTGAAACTCTCTGTAGACCAGGCTGGCCTCGAACGCACAGGCCTGTCTCTGCCTCCCGAGTGCTGGGATTAAAGATGTGCTTCAATCTTTAGGATGCACAGCTAGGGTCTGACTGTCCCTCCCCAACCCCTCTGTCTTGCTGCATCCAGGCGGTCGTGCTCATGGACCCAGGCGAAGACCCGGAGGACACGCTCCGTGCGCACCGGTCCCGGGAACGCACCTTTATATTTGACACGGTGTTTGACCAGCATGCATCACAGGTTCATACCACCCTTTCTGCCGCTAACTCCAGGAGCTCCCTGGACCTGGGTCCCGGGCTGTCTCATCTGTCTCATTTATGGTCTCCCTGAGGAGCAGGGAGGTTGTGGGGAGAAAACTTCCCCCAGGGTTCAAGCATATGAGATCCTCTTGTGGACTCAGGGGTCACCAGATCCTGTGGCCCACGCTGGGGGCTTCTCTTCAGTTTGTTCCCTGGTTCCTTCTTTGCACGTGATATCAGGACACAGGCCTTTCCCACACCACCATTGGGCAAGGGAAAACTGAGCACATGTGTCTTTCTCATTATAACACACGGCGGCCAGCAAGGCCCTCTCCGAGGAGGGGCATCTAAGGCTGAGAGCTGTCGTAAAGATAGGCAGGGGGCTGGCAAGAGGAGTCTGTGATGCCGTCTCACAGACAGGGAGCCTCCAGGAGGTCACACAGCAAGACCCAGTGCTGGACGCTTGGACCAGACATTGGTCTTTCTCATACATCATGTCACTACCATCCTCTGTAAGACCAGAAGGTGGTGCCACATGCAACCTCACCACGCATGACAGCGGGGAGCCAGGGCTCGTCAGGGATAGCAAAGAAGGTAGGATTTGAACTTAGGACTCCTGAAATGGGATGTCGCAGCACCAGGATAGCAGCATCTGGGGGAGATTTAGACTTCAGTGAGACAGTGTAAGATGGGTTGCCATGCATTCCTGTCCTACTGTGAGAGGGAAGGTTGGCTGCCCTGTATTCAGTACCAGATTGCTCACTTTTGTGCTTTCTTTTTTTGTTTTGTTTTATTGTTGTTGTTTGTTTTTGATTTTTGTTTTTTGCTTTTTTTTTAGGCAGGCTTTTTTTTTTGTGTAACAGCTCTAGCTGTCCTGGAACTAGCTCTTGTAGACCAGACTGGCCTCGAACTCACAAAGATCTGCCTGCCTCTGCCTCCCAAGTGCTGGGATTAAAGGCATGCACCACCACCACCCGGCACTTCTTTGATTTTTAAGATTCTTAAATTTTTTTTTATGTGTATGAGTGTTTGCCTGCATTTATGCAAATGCACCATGTAAATGTTTGATGCCCACAGAGGCCAGAAGAGGGGTCATGTTTTCTGGAACTAGAGTTATAGACAATTGTGAGCTACAATATGGGTGCTGAGTACTGAATCCAGGTCCTCTGGACAGTCAGCCAGTGCAGCTAGGCAGTGGTGGTGCTTGCCTTTAATTCCGGTACTTGGGAGGCAGAGGCAGGTGGATCTCTGTGAGTTCAAGGCCGGCCTGGTCTACAGAGCTAGTTCCAGGATAGTCAAGGCTACACAGAGAAACCCTGTCTCCAAAAACAAACATAAAGAAAGAAAGAAAGAAAGAAAGAAAGAAAGAAAGAAAGAAAGAAA